GGCGGTGGGTGGGGAGGCTGGAGCAGTCCCGCTGCCTTGGGAAAGGGCTGTCAGGGGCGCCCAACCTGGCTATGGGGCTGGGGACCCCCTGCAAGGGGGGGGATACTGGGGGTATCAGCCCTGGCTATGGGGCTGGGGGACTTGGGGCGCCCCCTGCAAGGGGGGGATACTAGAGGTACCAACCTTGGCTGTGGCGGTGGGGGCCCCCGGGGACCCCCTGCAAGGTGTGGGGGGATACCAGGGGTATCAACCCTGGCTATGGGGTTGGGGACCCCAGGGTACCCCCCTGCAGGGGGAGAGGGGGATACCAGGGGTATCTCCCCCGGCTATGGGGCAGGGGAGTGGGCTGGGGGCCCTGAGGTTCCCCCTGCAAAAGGGGCGGACGCCAGGGGAACCCCCGGCTATGGGGCAGGGGAGTTCTGCTGGAGGAAGCCCCCCCCTGCCGTGTAGGGGACATGGGTAGCGCTAGGATTCTCCCCTCATCTGTAGGGCAGGGCAGGCCATGTGGGGATCCCTGTGTGCACCCTCTGCCCCATGGGAAGCAGGGTGGAGGGGGTCAGGGCTTTGAAGGCCCCCCTGGGGTGGCCTCGGAGCCAGGGCTGTACCGTCCTCCTTTCCACAGACACTGAAGAAACCTCATCCCTTCCCGAAGCCCTTAGAGGTGTCGCTTTGGGTGGCAGCAACTCTGTCCCAAACAGATGCCGCTGCCAACGCGTGTGCCCCTCCTGTTATCCTCTCCTGTGCGGGTGTCACTTCTGGTCCACCTCTAGTCGATACGAGGGGCTGTGGGGGCTCTCTGCGTGCACCTCCCCTGCTTCGGTTCCTCTGTGATGTCCTGGTTCCTGTTGAGGCACCCACGCTCACCCAGGGATGCAAGAAACTAGTGAAATGTCTGATTCGGGCGGTGTTTGGGAAGAAGAGGCTGGTGGTGGTGACGGAGGTGCTTCCTACAAGACCTTGGGAGCAACGCTCCCACGGGGAGAGGGCACCCACCTCTCTGGGGAGGCTTTCACAAGTGCTGTTCCCGTCTGGTGCTCCTCATATTTGCTCTCATTTGCCTTATCTGAACCCTGCCCTTCCCCTCCTGGTGTGCAGGCGAAGTCTGAAACGCTTAGTTGGCTTTAAATCCTGCTAGGCCAGTTAAATCTCTCTTTCTAATGTGCTTTCACTCCATTCTTTGTCGCTGCGCCCGCTCCCTCAGGTTGGTGGGACAATCCAGGTCTGTGACAAGCAAAGGGAAAGCAACGAGCGCTGCACGTTCCCCTTTTCAGCTCACGGGGGAAGAAAACGCTGTGCTCTCCGTGGGTCATTTTGTCTCCCGATTGCACCTATCCCTTACCCGGAGGTCAGAGTCGTGCTTCCAGCTGGTGGTCTTAGACAGCATCTCTCTTCTGCAGTGGTTGACTTCAAGCGTCAGCTTGGAAAGCTCAAACCAGGTGAACCGGTCTGGGAGGCAGCCGGTCCTGCCTGACAATACACTCCAACGTCAAGTTTTTGGCAAAGTTCTCCCCTGCTCCTAACTGGCTGCTTGGCAAATATCCTGCTGTCCAGGAGCCTTGTTACCGCCTCCAAACACCCTGCGTCCTGGTCCTTTCCGGGGATGGTTACCGACGGCTCTTGGGCAATACAACCATGAAAGGTGGGGGTGGGATGTGCTGCATCTGTGGTCGCTAGACACGAAGCTCCCCTTCTTCTTTTTTGTCTGAGCTTTGAGAGATCTTCTTTGAGAGATTCTTGGCTCTCTCCTTTCTTTGCCCTGACAAGCTGGCAGAGGGAGGCTTTGTAAAGATTTGGAGACTGTTAGTTTCCTTTTCCATGACACTTTGTGGATTTGGTCACTGAGTTTTATTAGCTTCTACTTGGTGTTTTTTCCTTGTAGACTTACGGTGGTAGAACTAGTAAACGTTGTTTCACGTTCCCATTACTGCCCTGTGGTTTTTGCGTTGGGGATTCTCACCCCAGTAATTTTCTGGGGATGCCGTGGCAGGTCGGTCTGGTGTGTTACCCTGTGCCATGGGCTGTTTATTTCCTGCTCTTTAGGGAGATGGGCAGCCAGGCTGCGGTGGGGGGTATTTAAACGCTGTTTTAAAAGGGGAGAAACAGAACCTGCTAGGAATAAATGTGTTCTGTGTCTGAAGTGGCACTGAGGTTTCATGGATGTGCTTTCTGCTGTGGTGTCAATAACGCACACCCTGCGATGGTCTCCTTGTGAGTGGTGTAACGCAGATACCACAACTGTTGTACCAGACACTGTCAGTCACCGCCTGTACCAGACAGTGATCATACGAGTAGCAAGAAATGCCTGTCCCAAAGAGCTTAAACTGAGACAGGACAGGGGACTCCTCCAGGCAGTTTGGGAGCACTGTGTCAGCTTAGGTCTCGGCTCTTGACCCAGTGGTGTGTTTGCTGAGACGCAGTGCCTGCCCTGAGCTTTCTGTCCGTGGAAAGTCAGGCAAAGATGGCTTCAGGCAGGGAGATAAGCTTGGAGACAGCAGATTCATCCGGCCAAGCTGCATCAGGGAAAACCAGGCAAGAGTGAGGAAATAAACTTACTGAGCATCACTTGGTTGTATTGCTCCCCTGCCTTGGTTTTGTTGGTAGGATGTGCTCATGCACCTTTGTGTGGAGCTGTAGCATCTGCTGGGAGTCAGCTACAGGCATGTGAGCTGAAGGAGGGGGATCAGACATCGAGGGCACCACAGATGCTACAGCACAAACTTGCCGTCTGGCAGTTGTGCATGTGCTCGTGTATCTTAGGAAGTCACCTGTTGCACACCTCGGAACATTTTCACTCCTCCTGTCCAGCCTGTTGCACCTTCTACTCAGGCGTATAGGGCAGAGAATTGGCAAAGAAGGGACAAATGTGGGGAGAACCTGCTTCATGCAGTGGTTCGAGCTCACCAATGCAGGATGGTGGTGTTCAGCCCTGCCTCTGTAGCCTGCTGGGAACGAGACTGTCATCTTCAGCTGCTTGTGTGGGAGCACAGACTGATGGGCTGTGCAGTTAGATCAACTCGGGATGCTTTGTTTGGGGGAGCCTGGGTTCAAATTCTTTAAAAAGAGCTGCTTGGGAGGTGGACCCTCTGCTGTTGTATCAGCCGTTAGCCAGTGAAGGCAGCAGCCGATTGCTTCAGAGCCCCAGGAAAGGGTTTCCTCACCCAGAGCTGCCTGCCACATCCCCTCCTCTATCTCTAACACACATCGTTGGTTTGGCTTGTGAAGTTCAGGGCTTCGCATGTGAATCAAAGCGGTCACCCGTCGGCAACGTGTGGGTCCCTGCGCAGAGAGGAGCAGCGCTGTGACTGCCGTCACGAGACGGTGCGAGCTCGGTGCTGGGTATCGGAGAGGCTCTGCAGCCTCCTCTTCTGCAAGGAGCTGCCATGAGTCACTGAGAAGCAGCGCTGATCTGGAGGGGCTGTTTTTCTTACTCCCGATAATCTGCTTGCTATGCCCACCCACGGGGGTGCCTCTGCTTAATAGCTGTCCTGACTCCTAGATGCTAATTAGTCAGCAAACTCTTTCCTAGGCTTGATCGCTGGTGGGTAAACACAGTGAGCCTTTTCAGCGCTTCCAGCCACGTGGGGTGGCTGCTCCAGCGACGAGTCCACCCCTCGCCGGGCTTCACCACCGGGATCTCTCTGTGCTGCGGTCATTTCCAGCCTCTGCCCTGGATCTCTGCATCTCTCCCCTGCCACCTGGGCCTGTTGCTGCCGCCTCCCCAGCATCAACTGGTTCCCAGCGTGCTTTCCAGCTGCACCAGGCTGCCGTCCCCCTCCTACACGCCTGGGCTCTGCTCGTTTTACTGCCGGGCACCATCTGCAGCTCCTGGAAACCAAGCCAGCTCTGTTGACCCAAGAGGAGTCTGTCCCTTGTGTGCTAGCTCTGAATGGGCCCTTGTCTCTGCCATGGGATGCGGGACCGTGCTGTGTACCAGAGGATGGGGAGGACTTGTTTTCCAGAGATGTTTTTTCAGGGTGGCGTGGCTGTGAATAGTTACCCAAATGGAGGTGATAACTCGGGATCCCTGTCTGATTTCCAGAGCCCGTAAAACTGGTGATGAGCGCTCATCTGGTAGCTCCTCTCCGAGGTGATGCTCCCCACATAGTGCCCGCAGCTCTCGGGCTCCCTGTCCCACTCCACAGGGAGGTGAGCTGAGGGACTGAGACGCGGTGACTCACTTCAGGCCCCATAGGAAGCAGTTGATTCAGCTGGGATTTGGACCCAAGTCAAACTGTGTACAGTACCAGAGGCAGCTTCACCGCGGCATTGGCTACGAGCTTGAGAACCAACATGGGGTTCAAACCCTCAACTGCATTGCAGAGAGCCTTAGTGTCGCTGGCTAGAGTCCTTCTCGGTCCCGCAGGGCTTGGAAACATGAATTCCCAAACCTGGAAATCCCCTTGATGGAAAAGAGAATGAACGTCAGTGTTTAAGGCAGGGGCACTGAGACATGTGGTCGCTCAGGATGAATCGGTGGTGCAGAAAAGAGGCTGTCTCCAGCCTGAGCTGGGATTTAGGATCTGCTAAGAGTTTAAACAAGGCTTCTCTTTGCTGCTGCAAAGAACAAATCTTCATCTGAATGTGGCACTTTGGATCTAAGGCTTTGAGGACGGAAGTTTATTGGTCTGTATTCAGCTCCTGACAGCAGGCAAGAAGTGTGACCCCAGTCTAGGCTGAGGAGATTATTTGTGGGTGCTCTGTAGCTTTTTGCACTATCTTCTTTTTTTCTATCCTCTTCCTACAGCATTCAGCCTGTCTATGGAGCACAGCATCCTCCGCTGGATCCCCGGCTCACCAAAAAGTAAGTGTTTATCTTCTGGAGATGCAGGGCACGAGGCTTTGCAGGTTTTTGGCTCAGTCCTGCAGTAGGTGGAGGTCTTTGGCGTCCTCTGTGATGTTCTGGCAGAGAAAGGCAGCAGTGGTGTGCAGTGCTGTCTTGAGCTGTGCGAAAGCTTGCAGGGAAAGCTTATCTGCTGGCTGCCTTTATGACCAGAAATCCATTTTCTACCAGCCACACCAAAGGCCTATTTTTTAGCAGTGGTGTCTGAACCCTCTGCTCCCTTTCGGAGACGGAAGAATTAAGGGAAGGGGAGGTAAAGCTGCCCGGCAGCCACGAGGGTGCAGAATGGCAGCACCCTTCCCGGCAGGAAAAGGCAGAGCTGATCTGAATTGCCTCCTTGTCTCTATCTCGCACTGTGTAGCGGTGAAGGTTTCCCCTTTTCTGTGACACTTCAGGTGGTGGACTTTGACTCCTGGAGCTTAAGGGTAAATGCGAAGGCTCCTCCTGTGCCTGGGAAAAGAACCAGGCTGGTCTGTCTGCTGGGAGCCATCGCAGCTGTATCGGGAGTGTCCACGAGCGCAGACCGTCTCCATCTAACCTCTGACATGCCTCTCCCCAGGTCGCAAGGCTTTTTTTTTGGGGGGGGTGTGTTAATCTACCAGTTTTCTCTAGGGTGGGGGCAGGCAGAGCTGAAGGAATTGTATACCTCTCCTCCCCTTTGCCCTTCTGAGCTGGGAATCCTGGCGCCTCTCCAGCCGTCTGCTGGCACTGTGGCCTCCGTGCCCTGCCATCGTACCGGCTCGGGCTCTGCCTCCCGGCAGCGGGCAGCCCGGAGAGACTTAACACGTTCCTTAGGTTTGGGAGGGGGAATGGGGGAAACTGGAAAAAGGGACTGGCTGGTTGGAGTGCGGACATAGGGAAAGGAAGAAAATGGACTCGTCTGACAGCATTGCTCTCATTCTGTTTCTCTCTGGCTCCCAGCTTCATCAAGGACCGCTCCAAGGCCAACGCGCTGCCTATGAAAAGCAAGAAGGCCTCCAGCTTTCACGAGTTTGCCCGCAACACCAGTGATGCCTGGGACATCGGTGATGACGAAGATGAGGACTTTTCTTCCTCCTCCTCTTCTTTGCAAACTCTGAACTCTAAAGTGGCCAAGGCCACGGCAGCCCAGGTTCTGGAGAACCACAGTAAGCTGCGGGCGAAACCCGAGCGAGCCCAGTCCGCTCTCAGCGACATGCCCACCAACTGCAAGGTCATCAAGTCCAGCAGCGAGGCCCAGCTCTCCAGGACATCTGGTAAGAGCCATCTTCATGAGCAGCCTCCTGCTCCGGTGCTCTCCTGGTTGACTGCTGAACTCAGCCGCTTGCTGCTACGCGCATGTTATGGGCGAGAGGCTGTGGCACAGCCCGTAAGCCCAGCAACGGCTTTGGCCTCCTTGTAGTATCCTGCACTCCAAGGAGCCATTTTTGGAGTCCTGGCCTTAATGCTGCAGTCTCCTCTGCTGCTCAGTATCCTGCATACAGGCACGTCTGTCCCAGAGGATCCCATGTTTTTGGTGCTAAGGGATTTTGGAGAGATACTTAAGTTCTTGCTTGGGATTGCTCACCTTCTGCTTCCTTTGTGGCCCTGCGTGCTGCTCTTGGCAGAGGTCTGGATGAGGCCCCGTAGAGCCCAGGTCGGTAGAGCTTGGGCAGGGAGCTGGGCAGCATCAGCCCCTGCTCGCTCTGCCTTGTCGCAGGCAGACGGCTGCCTGCGCTCTGAAAGTAACCCAGCAGGTCCCTGCTGCCAGCAGGTGGCATTGGCAGCCTGTCTCCTCCTCCTCCTCTCTCTGTGCTAGCAATTAGCTTGATCACTGTTTAGATCAGAGTCGAGTAGGGCAGATCTGAAGGTCAGTTCTTCTGGGATTCTCGCGGGCTCCTTCTGCCTCATCTCCTGTATCCTTCTGCCCATGGCTTCCCATGTGGAGGGAGAGGTCCGATCCCCTGGCAGCCAGGTGTCTGGATGCAGGAGGAAGAGAGGAAAGGAGAAACAGGGGGAAGTGATGGAGGAGCCATGACAGGCGCCTGTGAACTGGTTGATCCCTCAGAGTGGGCCAGCGATGCTCTCTTTGCTAGGGCTGGGGAAGAGAAGGGTGAAATCTGCAGTGGCAGGTCACTGACAGTGGCCAGAGGAGCGAGGTAGGGTTGGAGAGGTGCGGTCTCCTTCCCCGCCTCACTGCAGCGTCTCCCCCTTGCAGAGGAGGCCTGTGTGCGGACCACCCTTCAAAAGCAGCAGTCCCTTCCCCTTCGGCCCGTCATTCCACTCGTCGCCCGAATCTCTGACCAAAATGCTTCGGGTGCTCCCCCCATGACCGTGAGGGAGAAAACCCGCCTGGAGAAGTTTCGGCAGCTCCTTTCCAGCCACAACACGGACCTGGGTGAGTGTGGCAAAAGGGGGGTGCCTGTGGGTGGGAAGGGGAAGGCAGAGGGGGGCTGCTGCCTGCTTCAGGTCTGCTCCAGGGTGGATAAAATGACTACCTGCAGTTGCTCCAAGTGGGATGGTTGCACAAACTGCTCTGTTGGGAGACGGTTATGTCCTTCACCAGCTACCTGTCCCTTTCCAGTCTTTCTCCATCTCGCAAATGATCGTTATGATCACTGAGGGCTGTTGGGCTCTGCATGAGAACGCAGGCTCTTGCGCGTTGGAGCCTCTGCAGCCACCAGTCCTGTGCCCGGGCTGAGCTGAAAGCATCTCTGCTCCCCTTGCCACAGACCCACATCCCCAGTCACTGCAAACGTGGAGCCTTCCTGGAGGCTCAGTGTCTCCAGAGCCTGCAGGAGCAGACTGGGCTTTCCTCTCCTTCTAGGTGTAGTGGTTCCTGGACGTGCCTAGGATCTAATCCATTGCCACCACTGTCCGTTTGCAGATGAGCTGAGGAAATGCAGCTGGCCTGGTGTGCCCAGAGAGGTCCGGCCCGTGACGTGGCGTCTCCTCTCAGTGAGTACTTGGAGCTGTGACACAGGAGTTTGGGGGGGGGAATGTGCCGAGCCAGGGACATGCACCCTTAGACCTCCGTGTGTCCCGTAACCGGGGTTGCTCGTCCTGTATCTGTGCCCAGCCTACGGGTGAGCTGTAGGGTTTTTGTTTTTTTTGCTCAGGGAGTGTAATTGTTACATCCTCCTTGAGCACAAAGCCCAAACTGGTGCTGGGATCATGTGGTTCACTCTGTTTTGGGAAGCTGAATCCCATGAAGTTGGGTTACCCCAAGATCAGAAGAGGCATCGGAGGCTGGGAAAGCCAAAACCCGCGAAAGCTCTTTCTCCAGCTCCCGAGTCTCTGTGCCTGATGCTTCCAGATGCACAGGCTGCCTGGCAGGATTTCAGGGGATGGTTTGTGGTGAGGGAAGAGGATCTGCCCTGACATGGGTTTTCCTGCCGCAGGGTTATCTCCCCGCAAACATGGAGCGGCGAAAGCTGACTTTGCAGCGTAAGCGGGAGGAGTACTTTGGCTTCATCCAGCAGTATTACGATTCCCGGAATGAGGAGCACCATCAAGACACATACCGACAGGTACGAGCCCTCTGCCTGTTGCCTGCCTTTCTGCCTTGGTGTTTCCCTTTCCTCCCTCTTGCAGTTGGGGCCATGCTAGGAATTCTTCTAGCTAGAACTATTAGGAGTCTTCTCCCTGGGGACAGGGCACCATGTTTCTGTCCGTCTTCTTAAGGGTATTAGTTTAAGCCTTCCCTAACTTGATCTGATAACTGGATTTCAGACCCCAGCTCTGGTCACCTGCCCACACCTGAGCAGAGGAGACTGGAGATAAAACTGGAGATGATTTTCTCAGTGCAGCTGCCGTCTGTAGCACTCGGTGTGCTTGTCAGCAAGTGCAGCTCTCGCCTGGGGGGACACACTGAGGGGTGGATTCCCCTCTGTTAACCTGTGATGAGTTACTGTGCCCCTGAAACAACTGGCCTGTGTAACCCACCTTCTCTTCCAGATCCACATTGACATTCCGAGGACCAACCCACTCATCCCCCTCTTCCAGCAGCCGCTTGTCCAGGAGGTAAGGAAGAGGGAAGCTCCTGGCCCACGTTTGCCCTGGGGCGTGTGTGCGTGGGGTTAGACCAGCGCTGCCAGTAGTGAGTTAGCTTTGCAGGGAAACTTCCCTGCCTGACAGCTCCTGATGCAAATACCTGCTGAAACTGTCTGGTCTTGTCCCACGTTTCTGAAAGACATCGCGTTTGGAGCTCAGGGGTTATGAGATCGGCTCCTTTGTGGCGAGAGGTAGCCAAGAGTTGGTAGAAGACCTGAAGCTTTTGTTTTGAAACAATTTCGAGGCATTTGAACCAGAACAGGAGATCAGTTGTGTTTTGCTACGAAACTTCTTCTGTGCGAAGTGGTATGTGAGAAACCCAGGCAGGGATGGGTTTGAGAAGGTGGCCAGAAGGTGTGAACATCTGTCCTCTATCAAAACAAGCTCAGCGTGTGTATGTGGTGTGTCAGAGCATGGTGTCCTGGGGCTGGGGCAGTCTGGAAATAACACGTTGGTTTGGGGGGAGGCTCTGCTAAGAACTCTCCTGATCTGTGATGTTTTGCTGGGAGTACTGGGCTGCTGCTCGATGATTAAAGAGCCCGGATAACAGCCTTTGCTGTCCACGTGATGTTCAGCAAGGCGTGCTGCTCTGCTAATGGGCAGCCCAGGCCTATGGGTGGAAGGGTGTTAAGCCACTTGGATCTTGAAAAGTTGGGTCTGCGTTTCTTCAAGAGGAGGCTTTGATGAGGAGCCTGGGCTGCCTTGTTCCGTGAAGCGTGGGCTGGCTTGTGTGTGGGATCTGTGGATCGTACAGGAGTCTCTCCTAGGACTTGTATGCTTCTTATCTTACCCGTATTGCTGCAGAAGAGCCTGTCAGCGCATGATCTCTGCTCCCTGAGCTTAGCAGTTATGCTTTTCTGCCTTTCCTTTTTGCACGGCTAATGCAGGTACCTGCTTTCCCTCGTTCTTCCCTAGATCTTTGAAAGAATCCTGTTTATCTGGGCCATCCGACACCCAGCCAGCGGCTATGTACAGGGAATCAATGACCTGGTCACTCCGTTCTTTGTTGTGTTCCTCTCTGAGTATGTTGGTAAGTGACATTTGCTGCTCGAAGCACGGTTCTGCCTCTCCACCACGGTGTTTGAAACGGTGTGAAGTGCCGGCACGAGGAAAGCTTGCCTTGCTGGAGGGGATGATGTGTTCTTCCTCCAGCGCCTGTGCCAGGCTGGAGATGCATCTTGACCTCTTGCTGGATCTTTGCTGCCTGGTTGAATTGACTTCAGCTTCATAACCTTGCTGAGCTCCACCGAAGTTGAAGTGCTAAGGATGGATTTGCATTTGAATGTACTTTACTCGGAGGAGAATGGGGTCTTTTAGGTGTTGAGGGAGTGTAGGCAAAGCCCTGATACAGAGTTGGGAGAGGGGAGGGTCTTGCTCTCAAAGCTTGGGCTCGGAGCTAGTTCTTGCTCTAGGAGTAATGAGTGAAGTATAAAGAGACCCTGCTGAGAATGTAAATAAACTATTTAAATAAAGATTCCTGTCCTGTGTTGCTAGTACAGGTGTGTTTCTCAAGCTGAGAGTTTCAGAAAGCAAATTGGCTTCTCCCTGCTGCTTTTGGCTTTCATGTCAGCCAGTTGCTTTTAGCTAGAGATCAAGTCATTTCCACCCATAGCATTTTTATTCTTTCTCCAGCTCTAGCTGTGTGTTGGGGTTGACATTAATGCTGGGATGCTGTAATCCCTATGCCTAAAGGCTCTTAGCTTTCACTGTAAAGAGAAGGAGAAAGGAATTTATAAGACTGTATTAATGACAGAGAAATACTGTTGAACAAATGTTTTTAAGGTCTGATCCAAAGCTTGTTGAAGTCGGTGGAAACCTTCTACTACCTACCTAAGGCTTTGTAAACCAGTACCGATCTGCCTCTTCCGAGGATGTTGCGAAGAGGTACGCCACCTCGGTTTCCGCTCTGGTAACTGGTGTGGTCAGGATAGATCCCTAGGAAGTGCTGTAGCTCCTCACAGCCTGAAGGAGACAGCACAAAATGTGGCTTTGCTACCAGCTGGAGTGAATTCCCTTTCCTGGGAGGTCGAGAGCCTGTCAAGTCAGGTCTGAGCAGGTTCCCTTTGAGTGGCTTCTCCTGTGCCTTATTGCTTGAGCGGCATTGATGGCACTTAGTCTTTGGCAGAGACTGGTTGCTCAGGATTGATTTATTGGGTTAGAAGCAGAGCTGCGCATGAAATGAGTTATCTGTGCAAGAAGGGAGCTGGTCTGAAGCATCAGAGCTGCCTGCAGGTACCTGGTGTGGCGTCTTGCAGTCCCGTACCATGGTTGGGCTCAACTCTCTGCATGTGGCTGCAGAGTCCGTGCTGCATCGGAGCTGTCTGTCTCTCACCGGCGCTGTGCTTCTCGCCATCCTCCAGGGCTGTTTTCCAACTGGAGAACTTCTTTTTTTCTGAATGTGGCCTTCTTGTTCTCACCTGTTTCTGAAACTTGTGTTGGAGGGGGGGGAAAAAAAAAAAAAGACAAACCTCTGCATGAGAGCCGTTGAGTTGAATTTGACCGAGCAACATCACGCATCTCCTTCTGTCCCCACAGTCTGGGATTCAAAGCCAGCCTTTAGGTCACAAGGTGTCTCTGTGGCTACCTCCTCCCTGGTCTGGCTGTCCAGGAGTTTAAGCACAAGATCAGTAGTTGCCTCGAATGTACGTGGGAAAGAACTGGCAGTGCTCAGTGTGGTGTCAGCCCTTTGGCAACAGGATTTAAGTCGCTGGTTTGGAGCGTTGGCTCTTCTCTACAGCTGCCTTTGCTGACGGGCCCCCGAAGAGCTGATGCTGGGCAGGGCAGGTCCGGAGGCTCTCCGTGTTGGATCACTGATTCTCAGGGTCCCTGGATTTGCCAAGTCTGCGCTGCACCTGAGTCCTTGCAGCAGGAGAGCCAAAAGAGGCCTTGCATGGTTTAGTAATCCTCGCACAGCACGTGGCTAAGGGACAACTCGCCTTTCCACAGGTGTTCAATGAAAATCCTGCTTGTAGTCTTCAAGCTGTATCCCCCTGGGAAAGGAGACGGTCTGTGTGGCGCAGGCAGCCCCTGCCCACAGAGCCACTGAAGGCTCATACATCTGAGGGTGCTTCCACATCCAGAGGTGCGTCTACAACTGGCACGGAAACGTTTCCCTCGCCTTTCCTGGGAAGGTGGCACCAGCACTGGCTCCGTCCTCAAACCCCTCGGGTCTGCTGCCCCCGCTCTCCTTTCAGAGCGGGGGTTTTGTTGACTGCAGGATGCTAGAAGGGGCCCGCTCTGCTGCCAGCTGGCTCTTCTGCTTAGTTGCCCACCGTCTTCCTTGGGATGTTTCTGTCGGAGCCTCTGAAGCGCTGCCTCCCACAGCAGCTCTCTCGGCAGGACCGTCGCGGCTCTCCGGGGACCGTGGGGTACGTGTGTGATTCCGAGCTGACGGTCGGAGGTGGGAGTTCACAAGCTGTTGGCTTTGGTTAGCTGTTCAGCACGCAGCCAGCCTGACACGCTGGTCTTCTGCTCTTCGATCTAGCGGCTTCTCACATCGCAGTCTCGCCTCTGATAACAGGCTGGTCCCCATCTCCAAGTTCACTGTACGCTTCTAACCCCTCATCCCGTGCTTCGGGCAGGCGTTGCCTTTGCCAGACAACAAATCAACAATTAAAATCTCCTTGCTGCTTATCAGTTGATTAATGTGTCTGGTAGATGGCGTCTCCATTATTTACCAGTTAGTAGACCACTGCTTAAAACATCCTTCAGAGGGTTTGACTGGCTTCTCACCAAGGGCTAGAGCGTGTCCCTGGGGAAAATGTGAGTGGTCTGGGTCGGGGATGGTCTGTAGCGTATCGGACACATTCAGGGAACAATTTGGCAGCTTCCTTTCATTGAAGTTGACACGAGCAACCAACCAACAGTCGGCAGTAACCCAGGAAGCTCCCAGGGCTCTGTGTGCGGAGGGGTTAGACACAGCGTGCCCGGGGTAGTAGTTAGAGCAGTTTGGCTGGATTTGGGAGCAGGGCTGTGCTGCTGAGGCTTTGACTTGGTGGCTTTCCGTCCTCACTGTAGAAGGTGTGGGGTGGAAAGGTGTATGCCTCTCCGGGTTCTGAAGGAGGTAAACAGATCAGCGAGTGGAAAACATTTGCGGGAAGCTATTTCCTTCGGATGCGTAGGGAACCCGATGAGCCCGTTATTAACTTGCGTCTCCCTGGCCTGGCCGAAAAGGGTCCCATTGATACTGCTTCCCTCTTCCTTCCGAGCATTGCCCCGAATCCAGCGTGTGTACCCCTTTGACCACCTTCAGAATATACCGGTTAGGCTGAAGCAGGGAGAAGCAGCTCTTCCCCAGAGCTTCCACTCCCCGTGTGTGAACTCCCCTGTCCGTTCTCCAGCGCCGGTCGGACCCATTGCTTTTCCTGTACTGCACCTGGTCCGGATGCAAAACTCCTCGTGCTCCTTCCAGGTGCTGTGAGCCCTTGGCAGATGGGATGGATTTAACTGCTGTGTTTTCCCCTTTCCCCCAGCACGGCAAGCTGCCTCACCTTCTCCTGTGGTGCTCTACCTGCCTCCTGCGTGAACACGGCCGCCTCGGCTACTTGGCGGCAAGCATGGGCGCTTTGGGCCCCTGCCACTGCCAGCTCTGTGGCTGGGGGTCTTTCTCCCTCCCCGCGGGTGGAGGGTTCTTGTCC